AATAAAATCAGATGTCATACATGTCAAAATATTAAAACCTAAAAATAATGCGTGAAGCCTGATGTGATCGGTGGCTTTCAGCACAAAAGAAAATGCTTTAACGAAGATGCCAATATATACAGTCTATAGTGCACGTAAGAGCACACAGCCAAGCACAGCACTGGCCCAGGGTTACAGCAAGAAGGAAAAAAAAAAGGAAATAAACTGGGGCCATACGTGAAAAGGGCAGCTAAATACCAGTTCGGAAATACGTTTAAGACTAGTACTACTAAAACTCATTGTCTCTCCCATTGACCGGCTAAGTCTTCAAGTAGAAATAAAAAATATTAGTGTGTGTATATGCATGTGTATATATATCTGTATTCCAGTGTATTTGTATATAAATATATTTATATATTATATATAAAGTGTATATATATAAATAAATATACATATAAATATAAGTAATATTAGCACATTACTAAAATTTCAGAAAAGACTACAACTGCTCTAAAACAACAATGCATTTTTGTAAACTGGCCATTTTTAAATATAGTTGTAATCATACAACAAATAGACTATGGTTAATATTTTTTACTAAACTAGGAAAAAAAAAACAAAAACTTTGGCCCCAATAAATTGAAAAAGATGAATCAAATAAAGTGGAAATACTATCATTAAATATTGATTTTAAGATTCAACATTGTATTATAGTACATTTTCTAATTATTAGTTTTGTTTAAAAGTCATTTTAAAGATTGCCTCATATTCTATTAAGTTAAATGTACAATAGTCTATTTAGCTGTTATGAGATTATTGGACATTTAGGTTGTTTCAACTATTTTACTATTTACGATAAACACATTCAGGGAACATCCTTATGCATACATAATTTTATCCATATTTAGGATTTACTTTCTGTGAATGTCTTCATATGATTTCTGAGTCTAATGGGATGACCACTTTAAAGACTCCTGATATACGCTGCGAATCCGACTTCTGAAGTGTTGTACCAAGACAATGTGCCATCAACAAAACGAGCGTCCATTTCACTGAGCTCTCCATATCACTGTGCATCATCACTTAAATAATTTCACTTACGGTTATTGTCATTTTATTGTGTGATTGCTGCAGATATTGAATACCTCTCCGTATCATTTAATGGTAGTTCAGGGACAGATTACCCAATAAGCAAGGTCCGGGCGCTTGAGCTTAATTGTGCTCAGTTACTAATCTGTAGTGCACAATTTCACCTGGTTTCCACATGAAAGCTGCGGTGAAAACCAGGTGGAATTGTGCACGATGGACTAGGAAATAAGCACAATCAAACCAAGCGTTCCTTGCTTGCTGGAAGCCAGTGCACACCACGCTTACTGGTTAATTCACCCCTGGTAGTGCTTCTGCTTTTTTTCCCATTTATATCTTTTGTAATGTTTGGAGGCCAACATTTTTTCTTTATCAGTTTATATGAATATTTAATATAATAAAAACATAAACCATATTAACCATAGTTTTTTATATTTGCTGCAAATATTTTTCCTGTATGCTATTTTGCATTTTTATTTTTGGCACCAATTTTGACATACACTGCTCATTTTTATGTAATCAAATTTATAATCTTCTCTTTGCGACTGTGTCTATTTCTTTTAAGTTAGAACATTTTCATTTCAGATTTTTGAGATATTTAAAGTCCCAATTCTATTTTGTTCTTTTTTTAAAAAAAATATAAAACTCTTTAATTTTTCAGGGATGTGATAAAATTCTTTTTTCCTTCAAATTATTATCCAATTATTCCATTATTCACTGAATAATCTCTCCTTTCCTGATTGAGTTCTGATGCCTCCTATCAAATTTATTATAGAGATCCTTATTAAATTATACTTCAATACCATTAAAATATTAGTCAACCAATCCCAGAATTCAGTACAAGGAGAGTGTTTTAAAATCCCATCTTGCTCAGAGAGTCAAAGTATAGTCAATGAAGAAACAGGATTAAAAGTGCCCCCGCTCATATAGTCTTGAGAGACTGAGATTCCAGCATGCACTGGGAAAGAGGCACAGTTCAATTCTGACAACCAGTTTAACAAGTTTTAAAACCTCAGAGATCTAAATAGTTCCATCTATAACAAACAACTCTGTTAACAGATTTATAACTACTTTACAAGCAGATACTTACCAGTCTTTTTTGATTTAACACTTGTTCTAAAAGAGTAGGTCTTGCAGGACGATCCCCAAAAGATCCCGTTCTTTGTTTAACAATGGAGAGTATATTATCTGCACTTTCCTGGGATAAATGATAAAAATGCAAATGGTTAACAGTTAACATAATATAATAATCCACGTTCACAGGCATTTCAATGATATAATGACCAGGTCTTTGATTTTCTTCCTTCTTCTTGCCCAGCCCCGGGGGAATTTGGGAAAAGCCCCCCGTAAAGCAAAAGGAAAAAGCCGAAAAGGAAAACCCCCCCCCCCTAACGCCCCCTCCCCGGCAGAAGCACTTCAGTCCAGAATTTCCGACTGAGCTCCTCAGTATTTTGACAGAAGATAACAGTGTGGCAGAGTTAGGGAGGGCGGGGCAAAGAGTTACCTGTGAGGTATTTTCAGTATTACAAAAATGTCCAGTAGAAACGGAACATTCTTTTCACAAAAAGCTATTCAGGCCAAAAAATAAAAATTGTCTTGGGATATATGAGCTCAGTGGCAACTTACACATTGCTAATGAGACACTCTAATTGATAGTCTTTTGCCCAATTAACAGAAAATAAGGGCGGGGGGCAGGGGTAAAGTATTGCTTAAAAGAACAACTGAAAGACAATGCTTTCAATATTTGAAGCCACAAGGGGAAAACTGACAAACTGGCTCTTAGGTGATGAAAAGGCTGGAAATCACCGGGATAAATAATCCCCAGCTACTCCTAAAATTACACCCTCACCCTGAGAAACCATTACCCAAACAACATCAGCAACACTCACGACCAAATATGTATCCCAAGTTATCTGAAAGAATCTTAAATACTTATGATTTTCCTGGCAAAACAAATGATTCTATTAACTGAAACATGGTACTCTTATAAAACCGTAATACAATACAGGCCATGTGCAAAAATTCTGTCTAAAATATAAGACTATAAATGTTTTACCAGGAAGTAATGACATACGAATTTACTCATCTCTGCTCTTCATTTAGGATGTTATTTAAGCTGTTGTTTCTCTTGGCCTCCTCTCTACTCGCCTCCGAGTTATTAGAATATTCCCTTTACCTCCTTCATCGTGAGAAGTTAACTAATCTGATATAGAAAAAAATGTTCCATCCCTAAACATTTCAGACCCCAATATATAAAAAAATTGTACAAAGAGTATTCTAACATCTAGAGAAAACAGAAATAATTTCTCTCCCCCATAGGATTACCTCTATTTATGGGACTGTTTCATTTTGATGTGTACAATAAATGGGATGCTGAAACTGACTTGACAGTGAAGTACCCTAAATCCTCACAACCCCAAACAAAGCAATATGTAGATCCAGAAGGTTAGCATCACAAAATGATAGAAAACTGTAGTTGACATAACCTTGAGTCATCTAGTCCAATCTTCTACAACTTTTGAAAGCTTCTTGTCCCAGGGAGCTGACAAACTTTTGAGGCATTCTGTTCTGCTTTTGAATAGCTCTAACACTTAGGCAGCTTTTCCTTAGGATGAGCTGAAATACACATTCATGTGATTTCTACCTAAGAGTCCTAGTTTCTTCAGAACTATACAAACTAAATCTACCACTTCTACCAAAGAACAGCCTTTTAGATATTTAAGGATAATTACCACAGTCCACACAGGTGAAGTGTTTTATCCTTACTTCCTTTATCTGTACCTCACATAGTCCAGGTCCTAGATACATGGACTAAATAGTATATATACACGTGTTCCTTAACTGTGATTTGTGTAAGAAACACATTTTACATACCTTAAATTCTAATCTTGCTGTTCACACCCTGGCAGAAGACCCCCTTCACTATAATGATCTACCAAAAACCAAAAAAAAAAACCAAACTCACTGCCATCAAGTCGATTCTAACTCATAGCAACCCTACAGGACAGAGCAGAACGGCCCCATAGGGTTTCCGAGGCTGTAATCTTTGCGGAAGCAGATTGTCACATCCTTCTCCCGTGGAGTGCCTGGTGGGTTCTAACCACCAACCTTCTCAGTTAGCAGCCGAGCGCGCTTAGCCATTGCGCACCAAGGCTCCTTATAATGACCTAAAGAGACTCTAAATCTATAGTCCCTCAATTCTAATCCACCCTATCAGATTTTAAAAAAACAAACAAACAAAAAAACCCACCACTGAGTTGATTCCAACTCATAGCAACCCTACAGGACAGAGTAGAACTTCCCCATAGGGTTTCAAAGGAGTGGCTGGTATATTCGAACTGCTGACCTTATGATTAGCAGCCAAGCTCTTAACCACTGCGCCACAAGGGTCCCATCGGATTAGGATCCCCAAGACACTTTGAGCCCATTGCTCCCTAATTACAAACCCAAACCAAACTAGTTACCACAGAGTTGGTTCCGACTCACGGCAGCCCCATATGTGTCAGAGTAGAACTGTGCTCAACAGGGTTTTCAATGGCTAATCTTCCAGAAACAGATCACCAGGCCTTTCTTCCAAGGCACCTCTGGGTGGACTCAACCCCCAACCTTTCAGTTAGTAGCCAAGCGCATAACCAGTTGCGCCACCCATGGACACCATACTCCCTAATTAGAGATCTTCATTTAAAGACTTAAAACTGAAATCCCATACCCTGGCATTCAATACCATACAAAAATCAGCTTCAACCTATCTCTCCAAATCTATCTTTCATGAATTTTCCAAACAAATATTTCACTGTAGCTAGAATGGTCTACTAGCTATCTTCCACACATGGCTTCTGCATTTCTGCTCTTCCTTTCTTCCTAAAATGCTCTTCTTTCTCCTTCTACCTACCAGAATTCTAGAAAAGCAGCATAGGATAGGGAAAAAGAGTGAAGCTCTTTGAGTACTTGCTGGCTGTATGACCTCACCTTTCTGTGCTTTAGTTTCTACGAATGCAAAATACAGTGCCCATGTCTTTACAGAAGGGTTGTAAGAACCCATTTACACCTTAGCACAGTGCCCGGCACACCGGAATTTAGCTGATCAAGCATAAACTATTAACCATCCTTTCTGGCTTTTATTGAACGGTATTTCCTCTGTAAGGCCTTCCATTCCAGAGTATCAGCCTGCAATGATCTATCAGCCTCTAACTTACTAAAGCAGTAATACATATTTGGATCTTTTTCTATCCTGACTGGCACTGTTAGACTCAGTTCAACAAACAATACGACTTACAGCTCTGTATAACCTCCTCGGAACCTGGTAAAGTGTTCCACAGTATAAGACAAACGGTATAATAGGTTAAAGAATTTTGAAGACAATGGGCACCATTAGAAGACACAGAGGGACACACTTGACCACCCTCACTCATTTTCATTCTATATTGTGATACTTATTTCCATAATTCCTTGTAATGTAAGATTTGGTAAAAGATTATTTTACAAGGATATGGGTAGAGAGAGTTTTTAATCTAAAAACCACAGGGGTCCCGAGCCTCATGAATTTATATGCAAAATTATATACCTACATAATGTGCATTTTTCTGGGAATGGGGTTCATTAGGTTTCATCAGATTCTCAAACAGATTAACACTCAATGGGATAAAAGGGAAAGAGAAGTCACTCAGCACCCTAACTAGTGGTAATTATGTGTGAAATGTTGGTGACTGTAGATTTTAGAAATGTCTACATTATTAAACATATGAGTTATTCCAAAGTTTACAACTTTAGCAACGGGGCAGCTGCTCAAGTTCAACCCCAAACTGAGAAATGGAAAGACTTTGAGAATACATCCCTAGGACAGCTTTCAGTTTTAAAAAGTATCTTCTGGATAACTTTTAACAAAATTCAATTGCATTCTCTCTTATTAAACAAAGGAAAACATGGAATAAAATACCTGCTTATCTGTAATAACCTCAAAGTATATTGTTAATAAAAGTATATAACAATAATGGCTAAGGTCTATTAAGTTTTAGTATTTGGACACTACAAAATCTCTCACATCTTCACAACAACACTATAAAGTAGATACTATTTTAATGCCCATTTTACAGATGAAGAAGCTGAAACCTAAAGAGTTTAATAACCTGTTCAAGACCACACCGCGAGCAAATGAAGCAGCAGGAATCTGCAGCCTGAAGTTCAACTCCAGAGCACTGGCTCTAACCTTCTGCACAGTTCAAACAGTTCAAAAGTGTTTTGAGACTAAGCCCCATATTATCAAGTTTGTTCTCCAGAGGTACTAAGAATTGGGTACTACAAAAAGGGGTAGTGAGAGCAGGACACTAAGAACTGGGGTACTGAGAACAGGATACTGAGAATAAAATCCGTTGCCATCCAGTGGATTCTGACTCATAGTGAGAGTACATGGTTTCCAAGGCTTTATGGAAGCAGACTCTCATATCTTTCTCCCAGAGAGCAGCAGACCTCTTCGTTCAACTGTAGACCTTTCGGTTAGCAGCCTAGTGCTTAAACCACTGTGCCACCAGGGGTCCTGTTATACTGAGAATAACCCGTTTCCCTCTAGTTGATTCCGACTCACAGCGACCCGACAGGACAGAGCAGAACTGCCCTATAGGGTTTCCAAGGAGTAACCGGTGGATTCAAACTGCCGACCTTTAGGTTAGCAACCGCCGTAGGGCTTAACCACTGCGCCACCAGAGCTCCTGAGACTAAACCAAACCAACCCCCTTGCCGTGGAGTCGATTCCAACTCAAAATGACCTACAAGGCAGAGTAGAACTGCCCCACCGGCTTTCCAAAGAGCGTCTGGTGGATTCGAACTGTTGACCTTTTGGTTAGCAACCGACTCTTAACCACTGCCACCAGGGTTTCCTCCTGAGATTAGGGTACTGAAAATAGGGGATTACCTTCTTTTCCAAAGTACCACCTTCATCTAGGTTCCTAAGTCTTTGTCTGCCCCTTTGGGGATGAAACGCATCATTTGTTATCTCTCCTTCGAGCCCGTACTCCAGCTCTTTCAAATGACAGTTATGCTGATTTATCACGTTTTCTTTTAAATTTAGTCACCTATCAGAAGGGTGTAACACGTTAGTACAGACTCGGAGGCAGGCACGCACCAACTCTCAGTCGCACGTCCAGCCACGCAGCCTGGCCCTCTGAGAGGCGGAGAGGCCTTGGAAACGGGGTTTGCAGTAGGAATGGGGTTTCTTCCTCCACCTCCCACTTCCCAAGGCCCCAGCTAAGATTCCCTACCTCCAGCTTGACGTTTCCCGCGCTGGATGCCGAGGCGGCCCCGCCACACTGGAGGGCCTGGTCGCTTTTCTTCTTTTTGTACTTGTCCTTGTACATCTTGTTGCGGTGCTTCTTGCACATCCACGGCTTGCGCTGCTTGGCCACCTGGCTCGTGGTCTCGCTGCAGCCCTCGTAGTTGCAGGTCTTGCTCGTGCTGCCCCCGCCACTGCCCCGTCCCCGGGCCCCGCCGCTGCCGCCCTCGCCCCCGGAGTGCGCTTCCTCGTCCTCCAGATCCTCCAAACTGGCCGCGCTCTCGCCGCCCCCCGGGGGCTCCGAAGTGTCCAGCAGATCCGTTTCGTCGTCGCCCGCCTCCTCCTCGCCATCCCCCGCCACGTCACACAGGTACCTGACTGGCCTCCCCGCCGTGGCCGGGGCCTTCCGGAGGACCCCCCCGGCCGCAGCCTCGTCCTGCCCTCCAGAGGGGCGCATCACCAGCAGGGTCAGCTGCTGGGCCGGGGCCGCGCCGGGGACCGCGGGGGCCCCGGGGTGGGCGCTGCTGGCTGCGCCCAGCCCGGGGCCCTCATCGACACTCTGCACCTCCGTGCTGCAGAGCCTTAGCTGGGGGACAGGACCCCCACCTCTTCAGCGCCGGCCGCGCCCAACGGCACTTTGCATAGCTAGGACCCGGGACACGCAAGAGGAAGAGGCGCGGCTCCCCGAAGGCGTGCCGACTGCGCATGAGCGGCTGCATAGTCTACACTGGGTGGCGATTAGCGGCCGGCGTACCTAGAGGGGCGGGGCTGAGCGCTGACTCCGGGGGAGTGACTGCGCAAGTGCGGCTGGGCGCCCGCTGCTGGTGAAGGGAGGGAGGGTGGAGCTTTGGATTTGACTGAGCTTGCGTGGGGCAGGCATCCTTATTTTTAGAAAACTCATTGCCAGTGAGTCCATCTGGACTCATGATGACCCCATGCATTACAGAGTAGACCTGCTCCGTAGGGTTTTCTTGGCTATAATCTTTACAGAAAAAAGCCCAGGTGGAGCAGTGGTTAAGCACTGAATTGCTAACCAAAAGCTCAGTAATTGGAACCCACCAGCTGCTCGATGGGTGAAAGATGTGGCAGTCGGCTTCCATAAAGATTTACAGCCTTGGAAACCTTATGGGGAAGTTCAGCTCTGTCGTATGGGGTCGCTATAAGTCGGAATCCACTGGATGGCAATGGGTTTGATTTTTAGTTTCATCTTTATGGAACCAGATTGCCAGGCATTTCTTCTATGGTGCCACCGAATTGCCAACCTTTAGGTTCGTAAACAAACAAAAAGGCAATGCCGTTGAGTCGATTTTGACTCAAAGCGACCCTACAGGACAGAGTAGAGTTGCCCCACAGGTTTTCCAAGGAGTGCCTGGTGGATTCAGACTGCGGACGTTTTGGTTAGCAGGTGATCTCTTCACCACTGCACCACCAGGGCTCCTTTAAGTTAGCAGTTGAATGCAAGCTGTGGCACAATGGTTAAAGAACTTGGCTGCTAACTAAAAGGTCAGCAGTTCTAGTCCACCAGCTGCTCCTTGGAAACCTATGGGGCAGTTCTACTCTATACTATAAGGTCACTGAGTCGGAATCGACTCGACGGCAATGGTTTGGTTTTAGGGACTTTAAATGTAATCTAGTAGACTGATATATAGAAATAGATATTCTAACATAGGACTTCATAAACAGTGTATTTGTCACCAACCAGGAAGATTTTGCATTTACGGTATTTTAAAGACGATAGAAACTCAGATTATAATCAAAACAAAATTTTAGGAATATTGTTATTGTTATTATGCCTATTCCAAAGAAAGGTGATCCAACCGGAAGTGGAAATTATTGAACAATATCATTAATATCACATACAAATAAAATTTTGCTGAAGATCATTCAAGGGTGGTTGCAGCAGTACATTGACAGGGAACTGCCAAAAATTCAAGCTGGATTCAGAAGAGGACTTGGAACCAGGGATATCATTGCTGATATCAGATGGATCCTGGCTAAAAGCAGAGAATACCAGGAAGATGTTTACCTGTGTTTTATTGACTATGCAAAGGCATTCGACTGTGTGGATCATAACTAATTATGGATAACATTGCGAAGAATGGGAATTCCAGAACACTTATTGTGCTCTTGAAACTGTACATAGATCAAGAGGCAGTCACTCGAACAGAGCAAGGGGATACTGCATAATTTAAACTCAGGAAACTTGTGAATCAGGGTCGTATCCTTTCACCATACTTATTCAATGTGTGTGCTGAGCAAATAATCCAAGAAGCTGGACTATATGAAGAAAAACAGGCATCGGGATTGGAGGAAGACTCTTCAACAACCTGCGTTATGCAGATGACACAGCCTTATTTGCTAAAAGTAAAGAGGACTTGCTGATGAAGATCAAAGACCACAGCCTTCAGTATGGATTACACCTCAACATAAAGAAAACAAAAATCCTCACAACTGGGCCAATAAGCAACATCATGAGAAACAAAGATTGAAGTTGTCAAAGATTTCATTTTACTTGGATCCACAATCAACACCCATGGAAGCAGCAGTCAGGAAATCAAATGATGCA